TTTAATGTTTGTATTATTTGTTTTATAGAAAATTAATTGGAAGCCGTAATTTTATTTAGTAAAACTAAGAAAGAACAGTCATTGCAGTTACTATCCATGTGCCTCCTAAGTGCGAATTATACAGTATGTTCCACAAATATAAAATGGAACTATTATATAATGTGCTCTTTTGTTTACCAAAATTTTAAGAATTAAATACATTTATAGTTTCTTTGTGATTTCAAACAGGATTTCTTTAAATTGGTGAAGTCATATCACTGGATGGGACTTGTCCGAATTCCAACAAATGGTTCTTGGCTGTGGGAAGATGGATCCCTTCTGTTACCTGACCAGTAAGTTTCCAGTCAGTTAACATCTGTATTTGTGGATATAATCTTTAGATTTTATTATGATTCCTTATGAATAACATTTTTTTTCACACATTCCCAAGGTGACATTATATTATAGTTGATTCAGAAAATACTATAGCTTGCTTTTAGAAAGATGGTAGAAAAAGAAACAAAAGATAGTACAAAAGGAGCAGATGTGATGCAAGAGAGTCTAACTTCTACCCATTTCATAAAGGGGAACTTTCTCCATTAATAATATCAATAATAGCAAATAGATATGCTTGGTCAGACATGTCCCCTCCCACACTCATGCATTCTTTCCACTAGTCATTCAGATTTGATAATCATTGTCAGACTCACAGACTCTGCTCATAGTTGTGGTACTGAAAGTGGAGTTTAATAAGGAAATTAGTTTGAGAGTGGGAAAGGCAAATGTCAACAAATGTAAGTCTGGTTTTAGCCCAGTTGTCCCAAGACCCAATTCCTCAATTAGTCCAGGGTCTGGTTAAAGTTCAGCAGTCAGCTTATCCTTCCATCATCTAGTAAAAACAACAAAATCTTCAACAGTTCCCTCTATTAATAAGGTTCCTGTGGTTACACCTTGTAGCCATGCCATAGTCTCTCCACTACTACCACCAGGGTATCACCACCAGGATCTTGTTCTCACCTGGGTGTTGCTCAAAGCTCCACTAAGTCTTGCTTGCCAAGTCTTGCTGCTCAGTGTGGGAAGCATTTTCTGTTTTATCCTAGTCCCACAGCTGTTGATAATTTTCAAGACTAAGTGTCCGCAGCTGGGAAAGCTGGAGACGAGAGGATTTAATGTAATGTGTAAAAAAAGTCAATTATTAGGCTAATATCACAGACAATAATAATATCATTAATATTTTTTATTTTTATGGTAAGTGTTGTGTGAGGGACTTATTATAGTGATTAAACAAACACACAAGGAAACTGAAGTAGCGAAACTAAGTATTCTATGAGTACTTAATCATCCTCAGCTTTATTGAGGTACAATGAGTTCTAGTAAGGAAGTTGAGATGCTAAGTCAGAGGCACCCTCTCAGGCAGTTCCAATTCACCAAGGACTCCACAGGAGAAAGATATGCAATCTTCAGTACAATTTAATGGAGTAGGTCATGAAATGGGGACAATGACTTTTTAGTTTATTGAAATATACCTAAAATATGATAAATAATACGTACGAAAAGGTGTACAATTTGATAATTTTAACCAATGTATATCTCTCTGAAATCAATACCATCAGGAAGTTGTTGTTGATTGCCATCAAGTCAAGCACAACACATAGTGACCCTATGAACAAATGGCCTGAAGCCTTTCTACAACTATCATCATTTATCAAAGTTCACAGAGTTTCCAGAGGCATGTTCTTTAAAAAGTGGATGCCACTCCTGCTTCCAAACCATCGAGGTGTCTAACATATTAATCAATAGCAAAATTCTTCTCCAATACCTTTCTAATTCTTTCCACCTCTCCCTTCCTTATTACCTCTTGGTTTTCTGTTTATTATGCTTCTCATTTAAATAATATCTCTTATCAATTTTCTTTTATGCTTTGAACTTCATGTCATTTCAGAAAAAATGTATATATTGTCTTTATTAGATACAGTCCGATAATTATTAATTAGATCATGTTAGTGAATAATCTTTCTCAGGTGTTCCACATCTTTATTAACTGTCTATTTATTCTATCGATAATTTAGAGAGAAAGAGAGGTAATTATTTCTTGAGCTATTTTTGATATTTGTCTTTACAGGTCTTACAATGTCAATTTGATATATTTTGAAATACATTTTAAAAACAACTAAATGTTTATTGTTATCGTGTCATAGCTAACACTCCAGTATGTTTTTAGAGGCAATAATCCACATGGAAGGAGATTATCCATGTTTCTTCTACAGGGCTGAAAATTAATTAGATTGTACAGTTTGCTACTAAGCCACCAGAGTTCCCTAAACAAATGTTCTGAACTATTTATTGTATTGTTTTGAATACCACAAAGTCAACTACAACTCCTAAGCCACTCTATCCTGCACCATTCTCTAAATCACTGATATGGTCAAACCCATTGTTAAACTCACTGAGTTAATTCATCTCACTGAAGGGTCTTACTTTCTTTTTCTGATCCTATATTTTTCCCAGCATAATTTTTTCACCCCAAGGTATGTAGTTGTTGTTATGTGCCATCAAGTCGCGTGCAACTCACAGCGACCCTATGTACAATAGCCCTAAACTCTGC